AACTAATGAATAAGATTCTGCATTTTAGTAAATCTGACTCATGGTAGTATAGTTAAAATTTGAGAATTCCTTTTTTTAAATCAATTTTTTAAAATTTATATTATCATGGAATACATTACAATTCTTATTACACATATAGAACACAATCTTTAATACTGTAGAGTTGGAGGTATTATTTTTCAGATCATTATCATTTTCTTCCTAAAGGTGAGGCTTCTATACTAGCTACCTTCTCTGTAACAGAAGGAAAGAAGAAAATTCCTGTGGCTGGCTGCAGAGTTCAAAAAGGACAGTTAGAAAAACAAAAAAAATTTAAATTAATCCACAAGGGACAGGTTATTTGGAGAGGTAAGCAACATCAAAATGTTTTCTATGGTTTATCCAGGCCCCAAACCTACTGATTGCATAACCATCTAAAATCCATTGATCTTTTCCCATCATAACGCTGTTTTAGCATTCTTAACTTCTCCATAGCAATGAGTTCCCTTCCTATTAATTTTTACAATTCCTCTAGATTGTTAGTTCCTCAGACTTGATTTTAACTACTTTTGTTTTTGGAGACTTGAGTCTGAGCCTATTTTTCAGGCTGGCCTTGAACTTGAGAAACTGTCACCTCAGCCTCCCAAGTAGCTGGGATTATAGGCATATACTTTTGCATGCAGCAAATTTCCCAAGCTTTTAAAAACTGGCTTCACTTTCATCCTACACTTACCCATTCCACTCCTGTATTCCCATCTTTCCGAACTTGACCTACTGTCTACAGTGTTTATCAGTCCTGAGTATAATCCCATCCTTTGCGGTCTTTAAGTGGGAGATTTTTGGGCTTTCCTGGCATAAAATCCCATTTAATGACAGGACTGTATAATAAAGTTTCAAAGAATTCCAGTGAGAATTTTCATTTTAACACCAAACTACATAGCATTTAGTACTTGAGGCTGGTCTCAAAATTAAAATCATTCTGCCTTAGCCTTCCAAACTGCTGGAATTATGGGTGTGCACCTCATGCCTGCCTTGTACTTTGTTAAATATACTCACCTTAAATTTCCTTTTTAAGGCTCATTGACCTCGTTGAAACACCATAAAGATGACATCTCAGTCATCAAAACTGGAATGGATTGTGGTCTCAGTTTAGATGAAGAAAAAGTGGAATTCCAAGTGGGAGATGAAATTGTTTGTTATGAAGAAAAGGAAGTTTCAGCAAAGACTTCTTGGGACCCAGGATTTTAAAACTATTAAAAATGTCAATGATGAAATGCCTTTGCTTTATTTTACATCAACTGGTTTTGTTTTACAGAAGTTAAAGCTTTACCATTAAATAGTCAAAAAGTACTTGTTATTCTACACCATGTGTATTAGAGCACATCTTGGAACAGAAATAATAAACCATTCAAGGATATCTCCAATGAGAAATTCTCAAGTGGGAATGTAACATGCAAAAAAAGGGAGTTGGTAGCATTACCACTGAATGTAATAGTTAAAAGAGTGGCACCAACAAACCAATCCTCCCCGAATTGAGCTAGATGGGTAAAATATGACACCAACATGTACTGCTTGAAGTATTTTTTTCTTTTGCCGTGAATATTAAATATTTTATAAGGATCCATCCTGAATAATTTCTAAGAGCTTACGCATAACATTAACTAGCCGTGTGTTCCCTTGTACTGAAAAGGGCAGATATCCTACCAACACGGGATGCATCTTTGAATTGAAAACTGGCTTATATTTAGACAGCTGATAAGGTAACTCCTGCCAAAGTATGAAATTACTATGTAGTGAAAATATCAAGTAGTTGACCCAGAACCACTAGGTCAAATAATGTATCAACATTCACATGAAGAGGCATATCAAAGGATGATGGGACCATCAATTTGATGCTCAAAAGTATTCTTTAAGGGGCTGGGGTTGTGGCTCAAGCGGTAGCGCGCTCGCCTGGCATGCGTGCGGCCTGGGTTCGATTCTCAGCACCACATACAAAGATGCTGTGTCCGCCAATAACCAAAAAATAAATATTAAAATTCTCTCTTAAAAAAAAAAGAGAACATAAAAAAAGTATTCTTTAATTCCGCAAAGAAATTCAACAATTAAATATTAGTTCATGTCTTTTATTATCTCAAATACATTACTTGTCTTCTGGTTTGTTGAAGCAGTAAGTCAGACAACACTTGCCACAATAGTGTCTGTCAAAGTGGCTGGCCATAAAAACTCCTGCACCACATTCATCTGAAGGACACTCACGACGAAGGCGGCTAATTTTGCCATTTTCATCCACCTGAAAAACACAAACTTGCTGTAAGATAATCTTAGAAAACATTTTGGTATCAGATTTCCATGACTCAAAAAAAGAATTTAACCTTTCTGGGCTGGGATTGTGGCTCAGTGGCAGAACACTAACCTCACACATATGAGGCGCTGGGTTTGATCCTCAGCACCACATAAAAAATAAAGGTATTGTGTCCATCTACAACTAAAAAAATTTTTTAAAGTATTTAACTTTTTAACTCCACAATACTGATGGCTTTTGTGCTTATAAGCTTTAGTATTAACAATACTACTATAATAAAAGTCATAGGACATTTGTACATTAAAATACAGCTTTGCTTACTGGTAGATGAAGCTAAGTTCTGAATCTAGATCTTACCTCAAATTCAGAACCCCATGGAATAAGCAACTAGGGCAGAACTCCACTATATAAGCACAATCAACTACCAAGCAGAAGACTTCAAAAATTGAGCTTTTCATTTTCAGAATACCTTGTTTAAACCAAATGTAGGCTCATTTAGATGTAAGTATATTTAATTACAATTTCATAAGAAAAATGCCAACAAGTTACTGTGAAGACAGTTTACAAATAAACAAGTTTTCAGATATTCTACTCCTCGTAAAACTGGCTCACCTTATAATATTTCAGGACAGCCAACTTAACCTTCTTTCTCTTATGCTTATTCTTCTTGGGAGTGGTGTAAGACTTCTTCTTCCTTTTCTTAGCACCACCACGAAGCCTCAGCACAAGATGAAGGGTGGACTCCTGTAAACACAGGATGAAACATTTTTATGCTACATTAAGGACAATATCAGGCATCTGCTAATTAATGTGAGAAATGGTAATAGCACTTCTCAAATGTTAGTGTAGGAATCACCTGAGAATCTACTGCCAAACTACTGCTTTTTTCTTTATTTGTATGTGCCCAAATTTCTAATGTAAGACTTATTTTTAAGGGGCCCCTCTTTTCCCGAAACAAACCTTCTGAATGTTGTAGTCAGACAAAGTACGTCCATCTTCCAGTTGCTTACCAGCAAAGATCAGTCTTTGCTGATCAGGAGGAATTCCTAATGCAGAGAAAAAAGGTATACATGCTCCAGATTTGCAAAATAATCCAGACTCAAATTATTTGCTTTTAATTCTGTCATTAAGTCCTTATAGAGCTACACACAATTCTGAAGGTTTACGTGTTAGCAAATTTAACCTGTCAATACAAGAATCATTTTATATATCAGAACACAATTAACGCTGGGCACAGGTGGCCCATGCCTGTAATCCCAGTGGCTCAGAAGACTGAAGCAGGAGGATCACATATTCAATGACAGCCTGAGGAACTTAGCAAGAACATGAGCAACTTAGTGAGACCCATCTCAAGAAACCAACCTCATTGAAATTCACACATGCAAAATGTTCTACAGAGCTTCCAATCTAAGTAGCCTGAGTCCATGCTCATTAATATTTGTTATTTAATTCCATTAGTATTTTGTCAATCAGACCTCTTCCCCCCAAGAACAGATACATTAAAGGCTTAACAGGTAGGCAGTGTCTGTACAAGTTAATTTCCGTGAACTTCAAAATATTACTTGCCTTCCTTATCCTGGATCTTGGCTTTTACATTTTCTATAGTGTCCGAGGGTTCAACCTATGAATTTTAAAATCCAAGTATATTGGTTACACTAGAACGAACATTGACTTAATTCAATCGACAGTTTCCACAGAACTCAATAAAGCTGACCCGGTGGGCAATCTCCAATGGACGCTACAGATGAGCTCCCTAGCCCAGGGTGGCCGGCGGATGCTGGGCCACACCGCGCCCGCCAAGCGACAAGCGTCTCCTTCCTCACCTCAGGCTGGCCAGGGCCACGCGAGAGGTGAGAGGCGCGGCCTTGCTCCGCAAACCACCCTCAATTCAGGGAGAGGTTTCAGAACTCAAATTCGGAGGTATGTCCTAAGGGTTGGAAAGCAGCGCGGGGGCCCCCAATTACACCTCACCACCTTATTCAGGCCTTGGTTTCCTCACACCACCTGGCCCGTACCTCGAGTGTAATAGTCTTCCCCGTAAGGGTTTTTACGAAAATCTGCATCTCGGCGGCGGTCCCACCTGAAGCCGAGAAAAAGGGAGACACGGGTTAGACCTGGGGATACGGGTTTAGGCGTTTCGTAAGCCGCCGACTGGAGGCCGAAGCAGAGCACACACTCACCGCAGATGGCGGATCGGAAAGGAAGAGCGCGGCGCTGGCCCCGGGGTTTCCTGGCCGAAGGTCCCACCCCTTAGGCGACCACAGCAGATGCCTGGCCGCTGTCACAGCAGCTGTCTAACCCAGTGCCAGAATGGGTCGCGAGACTTCTTTCCTCCTTTCTCTAAGTCTGAGCTTATTTCTCATGTTAGCTTTCAGAATGTTATTAAAATGCTAGATTTTAATAACTTAAAAAGATGTTTTAAGAAGACTTCTCGCAGGCCATCGAGGTGGCTAAGAGGGTCTTTCAAAGTGGCTAATGAGATTGGAGAAAACGGAAGTAATGGAAGTGTATTCTGGGAATTGTAGTTTTCCACTGCTTTCCTCTGGTCAGAACTACTTGTCCCAAGATGCAGTTCCACACCCCAGGCTCCCTAGTTACAGTCACTAAGCACTCATTGGAGTGGGGTTAGGAGAAAGGGATTCAGGTAAGGAACCGAGAGGAGGTGAAGCGGAGTAATGGTTTCTGGGAGGGTGGGACTGTGCCGAAAGTAACTAGACGGAAAGGCTTAAGAGGCGGGAAAGGGGTGTGAGCATGAAAGCATCCTTCTTGCTCTTACTGAGTCGCAGAGGGATGGAGGGAGAATTAGGCGTCGCCTTTCAGACCTCCAGGAAAACGGAAAGGGGCAAATCGGAATGCAGATGAAATCTTCAAAAATGGGGCATCAGCCGTTCTGTAGCCTACTTTCTACCCCCAAGTCTCCTCGCTGGAGGAAGGCTCTGGGCCGGTTATGTCACTCTTCGGTGAGAAAGGATTTAATATGTCGAAAGTTTCTGGAGTTTTATAAATGTAAGAATGGAGTCTTATTCGAAAGAAACGTTCAAATGGTTAGTTGTAGAATTTAGAAGTTTGGTCGTGGAGAGCATTGGCGAAGGTCCCGATAGGAAAATTTTGGAGTGTGTACAGCAAGTTAGGCTTTTTGTCTACGAACCACAGAATCTTTTCTAATAAATATTCATATTAATTCTCTTTTTTTTACATATATGTATGGTTGTAAATAGACACAATACCTGAAAGAACAATCAAGGCTTGCCGTTGGAGAAAAAATGCCGGTTTATTGAGGCAGCTCTGCATATTTATAGAGCTGGGGATGGTTTGACAGTTGAAACAGTTTAACAATTTAAAAGGTTCTATTGGCAGCTGGCTTGGGGTGTATTCTAATTGGTAGGTAAGGATCAGGTGAGCCAGCAGGGCTCACCATTGGACGGCAGGATCACGTAAGCCAGCAGGGCTCACCATTGCATGGCAGGATCATGTGAGCCTGTAGGGCTCACCATTAGATGGCTCTTCTTGGGGGATGGGGAAGTTAGTCTTTGGACCCTGGAGACTCCCAACAATACCTTTCTTTTTTTCTTTCTTTATGTGATGCTGGGGATCGAACCCTGTGCCCTCGCATGCTAGGCAAGCACTCTGCCACTGAGCCCAGCCCTCTAATGTACTATTAATGTCATCATTTTTTTTTTTTTTTTAACTAGGGATTGAACCCAGGGTTGCTTTACCACTGAGCTACATCCCCAGCCCTTTTTAAAAATTTTTTATTGTGAGTCAGGGTTTAAGTTTCCTAGGCTGGCCTGGAACTTTGGATTCTTTTGCCTCAACTGGGACTACCAGGGGCATGACATTGTGTCCAGCTTTAAGAATTTTTTTCAGGGGCTGGGGATGTGGCTCAAGCGGTAGCGCGCTCGCCTGGCGTGCATGCGGCTCCGGGTTGGATCCTCAGCACCACATACAAACAAGGATGTTGTGTCCGCCAAAAACTAAAAATAAATAAATAAATAAATATTAAAAATTATCTCTCTAAAAAAAAAAAAGAAATTTTTTCAGAGTCCCTACTTAGGGTCTTGTCCCTAGTGTTGGACAAAAACTCTACCACTGAGCTACACCCCAAGGCTTTTTTAGTCTGTGTCACTAAGTTCTGAGAGTGGCATCTTCCTTCCTCTTTATGTCTTATCTCTTTATCTCCCCATCCCAAATTTGTACTTCCTTTATTTTCTCCTACAAGAGTTCCTTACCAAACTGGTTACTTATCTCCACTCTTTTCCCCTTTCTAACCCACATCTGTACCCTCAAAAATATTCATTCTAGAAAGTAAAAATGATTGTCATTGCTTTACTTCAAATGGGTCACCTTCCCTATAAAATCCAAATTCATGAGTATGATATCAGCCTCTACCTTTTTTACAATCTTATCTGCTAAACCCATCGCTCACTTCACATTTTAGTTACATTGAATTGATTGAACTGACTTGTGCTGTCTAATGGCTTTGGCACTTGTGAAGAACTCATTCTTTTCTTCTTCCTGGAATATTCCTCACCTATAGTTTACCAACTAGTCTCCACTTTTACAACAGAACTCTCAAAGACTTGTTTATACTCATTATCTTCAGTTTTTCTCTTCATTGAGCCTTCTCTTCATTGTTGCTTCTGTCAGGCTTTTGTCCCACCATTCTGGTGGAGTAGCTCTTGTAATAGGCACTTATGTATTCTATGTTGCTAAGCTAGTCATTTCATCTTCTTTGATGTAAGCAACATTTGACACAGTTGATCACATCCTCTATCTTTAAAACATTTCCTTCACCTGACTTCAGGGTATCTCAACACTTTTACTGTACTAAAAGCTCTTCTCCAGGGTCTTATTTTTAACCCATGAGACCTCTAGACTTAGAGCACCCCAGTCTATAAATCTCTCCTTTATTTATATTTTGCAAGTTATCTCATTCTAATAACTTTTGAATACCATTTATATGCAGAAGATTCATAAACTGTCACTCAGACCATTTCCCAGAACTTCTGATTCACATATCTAGATGTGTATTCAGCCTCTGTAAAAGACAAGTCACAGACTCCTGATCTCAGGAAATTACACTTCCCATCTCTATATATGGCAGTTCTCATTTTCCCATTAGCTAAGGCCAGAAATTGTATGGTCATCCCTGACTGCTCTTTTATACCCCACATTTAATCTGTAAGGAAATCTTGGCTTTGTTTTCAGTATATGTACACAACACTTCTAAAAATACTTCTAGCTTTGACTCTTTTATCCCAATTATCTATTCTTCACAGAGCAGCCCCAGCAATTTAAATGAAAGTCAGCTGTCATTTTTAATTTAAAATGTAAATCAGCTGCCATTCTTTTGTTTTCTCTCTCACTCAGAGCAAAGTCTAAATTCCTATAAGTGAGACTGTTGCTCCAGCACAGGAACAAGTGAAGGCCACAATCCAGCTCAGTATTCTTCTTGCCAAAACCGCCCAGAGAAAGGGGCACCAAATCAACTGGTAGTAGTCCTGTCTTCATGGCCCTGTAACCTGCAAGATGTGACAGCTACCTCAGACCTTAACTCTTCTCTCCCTTTCTCTCTTCAAGTCCCACAGGCCTTCTTATTCCTTAAATATACTGTCCCACCTTGAGACCTTTGGATTTACTATTCTATGCCTCAACCACTTCTAGGAATCTGCATGACACGTTTTCTGAAATGTCACCTAGTCAGTGAAGGTTTTCCTCTTTCTTGACCCTGTCTTACATAAAATAGCACCCTCTCAGCTTCTGTACTCTATCCCCCATACTGTCTTATTTTTATTCATTCAATTTGCCGCATCTGTCATATATTTTCACTTATATGTTGTCTGTCTCTACTTGAATGTAATTTTTGAGAGGTTAGGGATTTTGTTTTAGTCAGTTTGGTATCTCCAGTTCCTAGAATAGTGACAGACGTAGATGTCCTCAGTATTTATTGAAGAAGTAAGTATAGCACAACTTAAGCATTACCCTATATTGTTCCACTGGTTGTTCTCTACTTAATGTTCTCTCCTCTCTCACAGGTTAGTGAAATGCTCTGTGGGCATCTGTAGTCCAGTGTACTCTGCTCATTGCTTCACACTGCCTTCTCTGCTCTGTAGCAGTGGCTCATTTACTAGACCCAACAGACTTGATTGGGAATCCAGGTGACTTGTTTTTAATGTATCCCTAAGTGAATGAACCTGGAGATATAGCTAAGTTAGTATGAATTAATAAGTGAATGGCAATCTTAGTTGACATATGTAATTCAGTGACATTTTGAATATGCTAAGGAATAAATAATTTAACTGTTTCCTGGTTTGAGGCCACCATAAGTCCGTTGTCTTCTGAGACAAGATTTTGTTTGCTGATTCAGCAAATATTTGTTGAATACCCACTCCAAGAGGGACTACTATGTACTGGAGTGCACATGGGTGGAGGAGGGGTAATGGGGATAAGAACATTTTGGTTCCAGATCTTGTCAAATTTACGTCCTAACAGGAGAGGCAGAGAATATAAACAGAAACTCTATAAAACAGTGTAATAATTCTGTGACAAGGGAAGTGCATAGTACTATAGGAGAACAATGTCAATGGCACTGACCAAGTCTGAGGGAATTCGGGGCAGCTTTCCTGAAACCATATAGGCTGAGATCTGGAGAACTAGTGATGCAGTGTGTGTGTGTGTGTGTGTGTGTGTGTGTGAGAGAGAGAGAGAGAGAGAGAGAGAGAGAATTTTTTGGGGGAAAGGGGAAGATGAGTGTGAGAGAGTTGCAAGAAGGGAGAAATATACAAGATCCTAAGGTAAAAGGGCAAATTCATAGGGGTGAGGATAGAATGGTATGGGGAGAAGGACAAGAACATGAAAAGGGTAGATTTTATCAGAGAGAAAAAGAGTCATTGGTTCCTAAAGGGCATTAATAGGTCAAGTAAAGGAATTTGAATTTTATCCTAAAGGTTATAGGAAGCCACTGGTATTCTGATTTGACCATCTGTTCCCTGGTGATTAAATCCATTCCTTCTTCCTTTGATTTTTATCTTTTACTATTTAAAATTACATTGTTGGGGCTGGGGATATAGCTCAGTTGGTAGAGTGCTTGTCTTTCATGCACAAGGCCCTGGGTTCAATCCCCAGCACCCCCCCAAGCACACAAAAATCAAACAAACAAAAAAACATTGTTTTTAGTGTGTCTCCCCTACCACATCTTAAGCTCCAAGGAGCCAGTGGCGTTATCTTATTTATTGCTGAATTTCTAGCTGTGAAATATTATTTGGTGCTTAGTAGACAATAAATACTGGCTCAAAGAATGAATAAAAATTCACTGATTTTTTTTCATTTAAGAAAACTGTTTATCCATTTATGGGTTATTATGTTGTTGTAGTTTAAATTGACTTTTTGTAATCTAGTTCATCAGTATAAGATTAATTTGGTCTCTTAAACTTCAAAATTATTTTGGTTGTCTCTCCTTTTTATTATGACCTATAGTAATATAGGTTTTATAGTTATATAGTTTCTATAGTTATATAGAAAATAATATATATGTTATTTCAGATAACCAGATGTCAATTTGATTGCCAAAACATCATAAAATTGGTTTAGACATTTATTCATTACAGCATTATTTATAATAGTGAAATTATCCAAAATTAGGGGGATGGTTAAACAAATTATAAAATATCATACTATGAAATACTTTGCAATCTTTAGAACTTATGTGTTGAAAACAACAAAATAGAAAGTGATTTTAATATTAAGTGAAAAGGGCTGTGGTTGAGGCTCAGTAGTAGAGCGTTTGCCAAGCATGTGTGAGACATTGGGTTCGAGCCTCAGCACCACATATAAATAAATAAAATAAAGGTGTTGTGTCCATCTACAAGTAAAAGAATTAAAAAAAATTAAGTGAAAAAATTAGAATACACAACTGAATATAGAATTTGAACCCAATGCTTATAAAGATTGGTAGGAAATATAATGATTATCTTTGGGTAATAGGATTCTGGATGATTTTTGTTTTCTTCAATAGTTTTCTTTGGTTTATATTTTCAGATTTTATTCCATGGATATATATGTTTTTACTTGCCAGACAAAGCCAACCAAGTGTTCTGTCTGATGTTTAATACAATGACAGTATGCTTTTTTTGTTTGCTTTGGTGCTGGGGGTTGAACCCAGGGCCCTGCACATGCTAAACACAAATTCATGAATTTTACCACTGAGCCACAACCCCAGCCTATTCAATGGGTTAATGTGAGTGAATTTTAGGAATCACCTTCTGTATCCAATTTCAGCTGAATAACGATTCTTTGCCAAAAGCATTGTAAAAAGCTGTTTGAAAACTGTATTCCCCGAAGTACTGTTATCTTTGACATTATTGATGGATAGATTTTTTTTTTTTTCCAGTGCTGAAGATCAAACCCACATGTGAGACAAGGATTCTGCTGCTGAGCCCTATCCCCAGCCTTGTTGGATGGATTTTAACATAAGTCCTGCCTCTTACTTTTCAGTTAGCACCTTTGTATCAAGACTGCGAATCATTATAAAATCTATTATAAAAATTAATTTTTCGTAGATACTGTATACTGGACAACTGTGACTGGGCCAGGTAAGCACTTGGGTAGGGGAGTATCTGACCTTTTTTTAATTTTTTTTTAGTTGTAGATGGACATAATATCTTTATTTATTTTTATTTATTTTATGTTGTGCTGAGGATCAAACTCAGAGCCTCACATATGCAAGGCAAGCGCTCTACCACTGAGCTACAACCCCAGCCCTATCTGACCTTATTTGTGTCATCAAGAGACTTACTAACTCGTTTTTCCACATGAAACAAGTAAAATATTAAACCTTCGTTTGAGTTTTCTAGCTGCCTGAAGTATCCTTATAATTATTAAAGTGTGATTTAAAAATAAATTGAGAGCTGGAGTATAGCTCAGTGGCAGAACACTTGTCTAGCCTGTGCAAGGCTCTGAGTTTGAAACCCAGCACTGAAAAAAAAAAAAAAAAAAAGAAAGTGTTGCGTTAAACCATCTATTATATGATACATATGAGGAGTTGTGCTTGGTTAATAAAGGAAGAGCTCCTAATTAACTAGTATTTGGTATTTCTATCCCAGAGATATCTACATGGCCTAGAATAGAATAGATCTTTTTTTTTTTCATTTTTTCTTTTGTGCTGGTGCTTAAATCCAGGGCCTTGCACATGCTAGCAAGCACTCTACTACTGAATTATACCCTACTCTGTAGCATAGACCTTTTAATTTGTAGATTGAAATATTTTTCTTAAAAACAGATCAATGGGAATTTTTCTCAAATAAATATATGATTTTTTAGATTAATATTCATTTTATAATTTTTAAGCCTTTAGATTAATTGATGGTCTTTTTTCTTTCAGGATTATCAAAGTTTTGGCTTTGTTACAAAAACAGTTCAAGATTTCACTTTTCTTTGGTGACTAAGTGGGCAGATTGTGACTTATGTCCATCCAAGAAATACATAAACATGCAGTTCTTCCTCCTATCATTAGTAGATGTGACAAGGAATTCTTGGAAAGTACGCAAAGATACATAATTACAGAAATTGAAAGAGTGGGCTGTAATGAGGAAGGACCTGCTGATGAATATTACATCATATACCAAAATGTTTTTAATAAGGTATCTTAATGCTCTTAAGGCAATGAAGTTTTCATGAGAGTAGAAATGTCTTATCTTGATAACTGCCTTAAAAATACCACTGCTTGTTTGACCTCATTCTTTTTGTTGGTTTTTGGAAGTTCAACTGGTTTGTCAGAAAGGGATGAATGAGGAAAATGCAATGCTGGATTTACATTACTTATTAATGAATGTTTTAGTTATTTTAACTTAACAGGTTGTTTTTTATCTTCTCATAATCATTTTGATCTCTCTATCTGAAGGTAGCATCTAACTTGTTAGGAATTGGGTTTTAATCAAGAGCTTGCTAGTTCCTTATTGTTTTGGGTTTGTTTGTGATATCATTAAATGTTGGTTTAAATTTGATTTAGCATATTAATTGAGACCTTTTGAGCTTGGCATGGTGGCATATACCTATAACCCAGTTACTTAGGGAGCTGAGGCTGGAGAATCCCTTGAGGCAGGAATTTGAGGCCATCCTTGGTAACATAGCACCCAGACTCTAAATAAACAGGCAAACAAATAAACAAATAAAATACTTGATATAAAAACATGATACCTCTTGTAGTTAGTGGTCTTATAAGCATGAGCAAGAAATTTGACTGGACTTAACACTGGAAATAATAGAGATCAGATTAAAAAATGTTATGACTTTATATAACATTTGATTTAGTTCCTTGAGATTTTAGAAATAATTGTTTTTCCTTATAAACATTTACAATTTGTACATGTATCATAATTTTTTGCCTAGCTATTTTTTTAACTCTCCCTTGGAAGGTCCCTGACAGAAATCAGCATCCTTTCATCTTTGCCTAAAGGAAGTGCTTACCTTAAGTTTCTTACTTTCTGGGTAAAATAGCTACAGGCAAAATAGGAACTCAGTGTTTTGCTTAATTTTTAAATGTTAGTACACTATGAGTCAATTATTTCTCCTCTAAACAAAAACCTAGTGCCTCACTTTACAGAAAAGTGAGCCCAAAGTAGTGATATATACTTAACAGTGGAATTAAGAAACTTGATACATATGTATGAGAGTATAGAGAGTTTTTTTCCCCTTCCCTTTAAATCATACAGAATATCTCTTCCTTAGAATTGCTTAAGATTATCTTCATTGTATGTGTTGTCTGTATGTTGTATCTAATGTGTTCATTGTATGTTGGTCTTTTAGTTGGTGGTTAAGAAATATACTGGGTCAATGTTTTAAATAAAGGTATTATCTTGAATAGGTTTCATAAGTATAAGTCATGCTAAGACTCTATTTGTGTAAAATCAGCAAAGAAAAGTTGCGTGACCTACTTATCTTTGCATGCCGAAATGCTAACACTTTGTCAGAATTTTTGTCATCCGAAGAGCAGTCTGTTCTAAATTAGTATAGTTAAAGTGAAATAATCTTGGAATTAGTGTTGATAAATGTTGTTGTTATTATTATTATTATTATCCTCCTTGTCCTCCTTCTCCTTCTTTTTTTTTTTTTTTTTATACTGGAGATTGAACCCAGGAGGTCTTGACTACTCAATTACATCCCCAGCCCTTTTTATTTTTTATTTTGAGACAGGGTCTCCTAAGTTGCTTAGGACCTCCTTAAATTGCTGAGGCTGGCCTTGAACTTGTGATCCTCCTGCCTCAGCCTCCAGAGTTGCTGGAATTATAGGTGTACACAGTCATGTCCAATGGTAAATTTAATTCTTAGAAAAGCAGATGTGATTAATTAAAAAAACATTATCTATATCTGTAGTTGATGTTCCCTTTCTTTCTGTTTTTCAAGATTTCCATCTAGATTGCACATTATAATTAAAATTTGTACATTTATTTATTTTGTAAAGAATCTGTTTTTCAAGACTGAGAGATAATTCTGAAATGGAAATCATTCGATCCTTTCAAGAGAATAGAGAAACTTTTTTCCTAGCTTCTCTTTGATTTTCACATTATTCCAGCACATTTGATGATAGATGATTTGATTTGATTGATTTGGATGATTTGGTTGCCTCCCCCAGTTCTTTCTCTCTTGGAAGGATCTGATGGACAGAAGACAAAAAATATCAACTTGCATCTCAGGTTCTTGGAATTGGAGAACAAATACCAAATTATATTTAAAATGATTTGACTTAGAGAATCAAACCTGAATCAAAGCAGAGAGGACCTGAGATATATATATTTATAATTATATATAATTATTTATACTTTTCTGGGTTTTTTCTAGCTTATTTAAAAGTATTTTTTATTATTTTTGCATGGGTAATGTACAAGATTAAGAAAAAAGAAAATTGGTAAAGTGAAAAACCTAGTACATGGAAGGTTGGCCCTTCTCATCTCACACTCTTCCGTTCTCAGCAGGTGCCCACTATTTCTTCTGTTATCCTTTCTTAAGTTATTTGTTATTTTCTTCAGTTATCTTTCCTGAGATAGTCTTTACTTAAACACTACTGGAAACAATGACTATGTAGTGATGAGGGTTTTTTTTTTTAAATATTTATTTATTTATTTAGTTCTTCGCGAACACAACATCTTTGTTTGTATGTGGTGCTGAGGATCTAACCGGGCCGCACGCATGCCGGGCAAGGGCGCTACCGCTTGAGCCACATCCCCAGCCCATGATGAGGGTTTTTTAAAGTTGCATTTGACACCTTGAGAATAGACATGCATTAGGAATTTGCCACAGTCTGGCTGGGCACAATTCATGAGCCACTTGTCAAACAGGAACGAACTTTATTTTTTAATGCAGCCCCACCACCCGAGCTCTCCAGGAATTCCCTGAGAGTCCAACTGCCACCACTGGCTCTTCTGGTGAGCACCTCAACCGCTCTTGAGGCAGATTGGCTGGGTCGCATGGGCGGAGCCAAAAGAGTGCCCCAATGAGCAGCTCCGTGGTCTGAAAGGGGGAGGAAACAGCCCAATGAGCATCTCTGCAGAGGAGCCAATCAGCTGGAAGTTTGCTGGGGCCTCTTCGCCTCTGGCTCTCAACATCAATTCAGAGCATTGATTAGCCAGTAGGAATTGATAAGTTAGAAAAGCAGAGGTAAAGGGAATTCAGGATTTTAAGGTCTTAGATGAAGGAACTAAGAGAAGATATGTGATTAAAGGATTGAGAATTGGAAAAATTTAACCTGGTATTAGATTTAACTGACATAATATATGGTATGCGTTTATAACAAGTAAAACAGAAATAGTCTTTTTTCTCCCCTCTCTGGTACTTAAGGTCAGTTTCCACTGTAATGATCCATAAGGAGCATATGTTCAATAAATATTGTCTTTAGTGCCCAGTCATGTATGAGCTTTCTGTAAACTTTTTAGTTTTCTAATTATTAATCATGTTTCATTTAAGAAATAATCTTAATGCTATTTGTAAGGCTTTTGACTTGTAGTCTTCTAGAAAAAATTTCAGTGTCATGGGCAGAAATATCATATTTCAGGTAATAGACTATGTCACTGCATACAAATCCATTCTTACTTCAATCAAAAAAGAATATGATGCCTTTATTGAGACACTAAAGAAAGACCGAAGAACTACATTTTTTCTTCATGGAAAACTTAAAGTTTGGGCAGCAGAGCCCACAGTTTTGGTATATCATCAGAGAAGAGCTATCCAGCTTGAAGCAAAGTAAGTATATTAGTAGCTAGCCCAAAAGGTGATAATTGTTTCTAGACTATAATAACCAGCCAATATAACTTTATTAGTCTATAAGGTTATTAGTCTTTTAAATTTCATTTTAATTTTAAAATCTGGGTTTTTATGCTTTCCTCTCCTATTAATTGTATTTTTTTACATGTTTCAAGTAAGAGTATTAATTTTGTTTGAGAACTTTGTGAAAACCAGAGGTACACTGTGTTTTCATAAAATGGGGGATGCAAAAAATGATTCTCTAGGTAATTTCTTGCATGAAAAAAATTTTTAATTAATTTATTCGGGCTGGGGATGTGGCTCAAGCGGTAGCGCGCTCGCCTGGCATGCGTGCGGCCTGGGTTCGATCCTCAGCACCACATACCAACAAAGATGTTGTGTCCGCCGAGAACTAAAAAATAAATATTAAAAATTCTCTCTCTCTCTCTCTCTCGCTCCTCTCTCACTCTCTCTTTTAAAAAAAATTAATTTATTCATGGAATAGCTTTTGATTTTTATTTAATTATTGTTTTATTTATGTGTGATAGCAGAATGCACTACAATTTTTATTTATATGTGACAGCAGAATGCACTACAATTTTTATTACACATATAGAGCACAATTTTTCATATCTCTAGTTGTATACAAAGTATATTCCCACCGATTCATGTCTTCATACCTGTACTTTGGATAACAATGTCCATCACAATTCCATCATCATTTCTAACCCCATGCCCCATCCCTTTCCCTCCCACCTCTCTGCCCTATCTGGAGTTGTTTTATTTCTCCCATGATCCCTCTCCCTACCCCACTATGATCAGCCTCCTTATATCAGAGAAAACATATGGCATTTTTGGGGGGGGATTGGCTAACTTCACTTTGCATTATCTTCTCTAACTCCATCCATTTACCTGCAAATGCCATGATTTTATTCTCTTTTATTGCTGAGTGATATTCCATTGTGTATATATGCCACATTTTTTTTATCCATTCATCTATTCAAGGGTATCTAAGTTAGTTCCACAGTTTATCTATTGTGAATTCTGCTGCTATATACATTGATGTGGCTGTGTCCCTGTAGTATGCTGTTTTTAAGTCCTTTGGGTATAGACCAGGAGAGAGATAGTAGGGTCAAATGGTGGCTCCATTCCCAGTTTTCCAAGAAATCTCCATACTACTTTCCATATTGGCTGCACCAATTTGCAGTCCCACCAGCAGTGATTTGATAGTACAATTTCATGATTATTTCTGAATTAGAGCTTAATCTTGTAATGTACAAAAGTAAGTAACCTACTAGAGAGGAGAAAATACTCTTGTTGAGTAGTCATATTTTCAGTATTAAATTTGACAAATAATTGATAAATATTTTTATAGATGATTTCAAATCAACTTAAAAATTATGTAAAGTTTGACCTTTCTGGTAATATGAATGGCTAGATGTTGGTATAGACCTTGCTATTAGGGATCTCTCTTTTCCTTTTAAAAGATTTCCAGTACTGGGGATCGAACCCAAGGCCTCATGCATGCAAGGCAAGCATTCTACTACTGAGCGCTCACTACATTCCCAGCTCTTTTTGTTTTTATTTTGAGATAGGCTCTCACTAAGTTGCCTAGACTGGCCTTCAACTTGCAATCTTTCTGCTTAAGCTGCTTAAGTAGCTTGAATTACAGGTGTGTGCCACCACACCTGGCTTTATAATTTATTTTTAATACTGAGGATTGAATCCAAGGGGGCTTTGCTACTGAGCTATATCCCCAGCCTTGTAATTTTTTGATTTGAGACAGAGTCTTACTAAGTTGCTTATTGCCTCCCTTTAAATTTATGATCGTCCTGCCTCAGCCTCCTGAATTGCTGGGTTTACAGACCTGCACCACTGTACCCAGCTTATAAAATAAACAAAAGTCTTTTCAGAAGCATTAGAAAGCTGATGAGAAAAATAAGAGATTATGGGGGCAAAATCTAACAGAAGATAAAAAATAAGCAGAGCACTAAAAATTGATTGGCCATGAGAATATTTATGAATATTTATACTTGTGACCATAAATTTCAGTTTTTAGTATGCAACTTGGGATAAAAGACAAAGTCTAGGCACTGCCCAAGGGGTATAGCCCACTGGGAAGCCCTCCCCATAAGGCTAGAAGGATAAAGGACTCCACTCTGGTAGAGCAAACCACAGGTGAACTGCTCCATACCTGGGGACTGAATGGAAAATTACTTTCTGCTCAGCAGACTTCTGATGGGTATAGGAATTATTTTTTGGATGATGATACATTCTAGAACTATTTAGTGGTGATGATTGTATTAAAATTCACTGAATTATACTCTTAAGGGTGAATTTTAAAAGAATCTAAACTACATATCAATAGAACTATTATAAAAGATGTGGCAGATTGGTTATATTAGCTTGTCTAATCACAGCTCTAAAAGAAGAGAATATGGGACAGAAGTAATATTTGAGGAGATAATGACTGAGAGTTTTCTAGAACGGGTGAAATATACCATGCTGCGCCCTTCCCCTGACTCAGGCAATGGCAAGGCCCTACTGAGGTGGATGGCGCAAGGCATCCATCCTCTGGAGGAGCGCAGTATGTTTCTAGGAATGGGCTGGTTTGTTTTTGTATTCCTTTAATAAGTATAGTTGCGACTTCTCATATGAAGAGTATGAAGGAAAAAACATGACTTTCCCAATTAACGCAACTACTTCTAAAGAATAGATCTGTTTGCTCTAAATGCAATGATTCAGCTATGGAGCGTAAATTGTTAATGTCTAATGAAAAACTCCCTGTATTCCTGTCAAGGAAGTTTTTGAGAAATTAAATTAAAATCTAGAGAAGAAAAATTAATGTTAAGAAGACAGATTAGTGCTTAGTACTGGGCAACTTGTTCTTGTTCCTGTGCACAATGGTTTGTGCTCTTACTCTTGTGTTTTTTTTTTTTTTTTTTTTTAAAGAGAGAGTGAGAGAGGAGAGAGAGAGAGAATTTTTAATATTTATTTTTTAGTTCTCGGCGGACACAACATCGTTGTTGGTATGTGGTGCTGAGGATCGAACCCGGGCCGCACGCATGCCAGGCGAGCACGCTACCGCTTGAGCCACATCCCCAGGCCTCTTACTCTTGTTTGATTAAAATTAATAACAAGTCAACCACTTGCCGTAACCATGGCACCGGTTCCAGTCAGTAAGTCAAGAAAGAATAGTCAAGGTATAGGCCAATAGTTTGGGACATTTGTAATTATTATTAAAAGTTAACTAAGCAGAAACAGCTCAAAGCAAAACTCGAACTGAAAGTACAAATGCTTGCTTATGCATAAGCCAAGATACATTCTTCTATTCTAATTGTAGCTATGTAATATTTTGTTTCTTTGAATAATGATTCCTGTTTTGTAACCACAAAGTACTGTGAACCTGCCAAAATGAAAAGTATATATGATCAACTTCACAAGTAAAGATTGGGATCAGCACCTTCACTTTGGTGTCTGTGTTGTTTTTCCACCCTCCTTTCACGGACTCCTCACCATCCATTCCTCCTGAGACCCCCTGTTGGAGCTGGACTCCGACAATACCAATTCACAGATTCAAGAAAGCCAAGTGTGATACATGCTAAGAAATCCCCAGCTACATCTATCATCATGAAGTTGTAAAAAATAGACCATAAAAGTAGCATAGAAAGGAGCAACGCTTGGGCTGGGATTGTGGCTCAGTGGCAGAGCGCTTGCCTAACATGTGTGAGGCTCTGGGTTCGATTCTCAGCACCACATAAAAATAAATAAATTAATTAAATAAAGGTCCATCAACATCCAAAACATTTTAGAAGAAAAAAAGAAAAAGAAAAAGAAAGGAGCAACACTTAGATGCCTTCTCATCCATGTGGTAGCATGAATTGGAATGTCATTATTTTATGATCAAATAATATTTTATTGTATGTACATGTTAAATTTTGTGTATCCAACCATCTATTGATGGATTCTTGGGTTGTTTTCACCTTTGGCTATTCCACTATGAACATTCGTATACTAGTATCTGAGTTCCTGCTTTAAATTCTTTTGAAGTCCTGTTTATTTTTAATATAGCTTTCTTTCACAAGCAGAAGTTTATTTGGAATAAAGCCAAATAAATTTTATTTCTATAATCCCTTTATTATAAATACTTGGCTTTTACTTTGAGTCATCTGTCGGAACCAATAATTTGGTATAATAATCAGAAGTGGACAGCAGTTATCTACTAAAAAACTGGGTTTTAATTTGCAAAAAAAATAACTTTTTTTTTTTATATTGACAAAGATTCTTTATCTGGCTTCCCTGAACTCTTTTTCAAATAGACCTGTCTTCTGGACTTTCATATCCACCTATGACTGTATAGTTTTAGCAAGAATCCTATCAGATTGGTTTAGGCAGAATTTCCAGCCCTAAATACCTGATCATCCTCATTGTCTGACTAAATTCCTTATGTCTGATCATATCAGAGATAGTGGAGCCTTGCTGGCCTGCCTTCAGCAATTCTGTTAGGTCTACTTACCCAGAGTCTTCCCTTCTGATGTTTCCTCTTTTTTTTTTCCACTGACGCTCCCCCACCACAGCTTCTTGACTATGTATTCCCACTTGCCAAATGTATTAGGAATTGAGACCAATCTTTCTCTCCTACTACAGAACCCCATTACAGTGGTCCCTAGATCTTGCCATGCCCCTCTTAATTTTTCTGCAAGGGTGTCTAACTTATTTTAGTCTGTTATTTTTTCCCCCTAGGAAATAAACCTCAAATAATCCTTAATAGAATTTTTGAAATTAGGCTGAAGCAGGAAGATCTCAGGTTCTAGGCGAGCCTGGGCTCTGTAGCAAGACCTTGTCTCAAAAAGTAAAGCAGGGCTGGGGTTATAGCACAGTGGTGGAGTGCTTGCCTAGAGTATGTAAAGCACTGGGTTCAATCCTCAGCACCACATAAAAATAAATAAATAAATAAAATAAAAGTATTGTATCTATCTACAACTAAAAAATATTAAAAGGAAAAAAAAAGTAAAGCAAAACCAAAACAGGCTAGAGATGTAGCTCAGTTGTATAGTGCGGACCTAAGGTACTTTTAAAACTAAGTTTGGTTATTTCTTAAACTAAGAAGTAGGGTAAATTTCATTTCTTTTCTTTTTTCCCCCCCCCCAGTACTAGAGATTAAACTCAGGGGCACTTAACCACAGAGCCACACGCCCAGATTTTTTTATTTTGAGATAGGGTCTTGCTAAATTGCTTAGGCTGACTTTAATCCTCCTGCCTCAGCCTCCCAAAATGGGAGACTTAATCCTCAACCTGCTGGGATTACAAGTGTGAACCACTATGCTGAGCACTGCTTTGTAGTTTTTAGGATCTGCATTTCTGAATGTGCTCAATTTTACCTCAGGGAAGTGTTATCTTTCCTCTAGCTTTAGTATCAAAATCGCTGCAGTAGATTGAATAATGACCCTCATAAACATCAGGTCCTAATTGCTGGAGCCTGCAAATGTTTATCTTTGTTTGGAAACAGGTTTTGCAGATGTGAATAAATTAAGGTTTTGAGGTAGGGAGATTATGCAGATAAGCCCTAGATATTAAGAAGTATTCTTATAAGGGGGGGGGAATAGGAGAGAGCAATGTGATCATGAAGGCAGAGATTGAAGCTTTGCAGCTATGGAATTCTTGAAGCAACCAGAGGCTGGAAAAGGCAAGGAACGGATTGACTCTTAGAGCTTCTATAGGAAGCATGACCCTCAAAACACTTTGATTTTATGTATAGTGATACTGATTTGGGACTTTAGCCCTCCACAATTGCTAGAGAATAAATTTCTGTTAAGTCACCAAGTTTCTATAATTTTTACAATAGCCACAGGAAACCAAAACAATTATGTACCAAAATGATATTTAAATTGCAAAAGTCATTTTTTTAACTAAAAGGAATAGATGGTGTTTTATGACTAGAATATGTTTAATACTTATGAGTTTCTGATAGGTTAATAATCATAGCCAATATTAGATTATATTTTTACTGAAGCTCTCAAAGAAAATTGTTCCTTATTTGTGAGATTACTTAACTTTTTCAGGGCATGTTTTTCTGAACTTCTACCTAATTCATAATGGTTCAAAATGATAATTAGCCAAAATAAAATAATGATTTAACCTGCTTATCTTAAATATTATGATTCAAGAATTAAATTAATTGAAAGAAACATAAGAATTTCTGTTTTTTAGAATGAGGATTATTGAAAATAATTCCTTGAAGATTCAATTGCAAATAGATCAAATGAAACAGCTTAGGGAAGAGTATGACAAAAAAGAAGCAAAATACTATACTCTCTCCAAAGATCCTTCAAAACCTATTCCAGGTACTGTATTTTGTTTAAGATATTCGAGAGAGGAGGCTGGGATTGTGGCTCAGCAGAAGAGCACTTGCCTAGCACATGCGAGGCGCTGGGTTCAATCCTCAGCACCACATAAAAATAAATAAATAAAATAAAGATACCGTGTCTGTGTCCAACTATAACTAAAAAAATATTTAAAAAATATTCGAGAGAATGCCCAACTATTTCCAGTTACTACCTATTACACAAATTTATATAAGCATGCTGACATGTTTATATCTATCAGTTGTATGTTACAAAAACAACTTTAGTCAGTGTTCTAGATGGATACATGGAAAATAGAAAACTTTAAACAACCCTAAAACATTTTAAGCATTCCAATCTGTCAGGGTTATATGAAGTATAAAGCAGTAACTCAAAGTATGGTTCTTGTATCAATATCAGCATCACCTGGAAATTGGTTAGAAATCCAAATTCTTGGGTCTCACTGCAGGCTTACTAAGTTAGAAACCCAGTGATTGAGTCTGGCAGTCAATGTTTTATCCAGTTCTGGTTATTATGATGTATTATAAAATTTCAGAACTGCTAGTATAATGTATGGAAAAAATGTAGGATATTGTTTTCATGCATCTTATTATTTGTGTTTATGTCTGCATTATTATTTGTGTGTATGTCTGCACTGTTTCAACATCTTAGTATATAATACATATTTTAGGGCTGGGGATGTGGCTCAAGCGGTAGCGCGCTCGCCTGGCATGCGTGCGGCCTGGGTTCGATCCTCAGCACCACATACAAACAAAGATGTTGTGTCCGCTGAGAACTAAAAAATAAATATTAAAATTCTCTCTCTCTCCCTCTCTCTCTCTTTAAAAAAAAAATTAAAAAAAATAATACATATTTAAAGAAATTGGAGTGTATCTTGGAATTCAGTAGGATTTGTAGAGGTTTGTATGGTGAATATATAAAGTAGTAGAAAATAAAGACTTTGAAAATAGGTAATGATATTCAAAACTTAAAAGATATTTACTTGGTAGAATCAATAGGTGGAAATTGTAGGATGCCAGATTTGGTCTAAATGGAAGAGGCTCTTCCTTTAAGTAATAAGCTACTCTATACTAAAGGATTTTTACTAACTTTGAACAATCATCTTGCATTTTGTGGAAATAAAGATTCACATTCTATTTTTTTTTGTCTAAATTCACTTTCAAATATAAATATAAAATCGTGACTAGCAAACTTCAAATAAGATATATATGAACAGGGGCTGGGGTCATGGCTCAGCAGTAGAGTGCTCGCCTAGCATGCACAAGGCACTGGGTTTGATCCTCAGCACCATATAAATGTAAAATAAAAGATATTGTGTCCACCTAAAACTTAAAAAATAAATATTTAAAACAATTGTTTTTAAAAAAGATATATATGAATAAGTACAGAATAACTGACAAATAAATTGGTGAGAAGATACAGGACAAGGGAATGATTAAAATCCAGTAGGGTTAATCCAGAGTGGTTCTGGAGGAGGGATATTTTGAGGTATTTCATAAAGTTAGCTATTAGCCCAGATGAGAAAGAAAGGCATTTGAAGTGTTTGAGTTAGGAATAATGAATTCAGGGGACAGCAAGAGAGAAAGAGATAACTAGAGTTTTGGCAGGCATTTATAAGTTTTGTGTTGGAAAAAATAAGGTGATTATATTGGGGTTAATTTTTGTAAATAATGGGAAATGGAAATTTGTTGATTCAATCCTCAGTTATTAGGCAGAGGCTTTTGGTGATATTTAGGGGTTTTCAGGCAGTACTGATGAGGTAATTAAAAAAATTGCAAGGGCTGGAGTTGTGGCTCAGTGGTAGAGCGCTTGCCTTGCATGTGTGAGGCACTAGGTTTGATCCCCAGCACCACATTTAAAAGAAAAAAAATAAAGGTATTGTGTCCATCTACAAATACAAATATATATAATATATATGTTAAGGTTTGTGTGTTCTCAAACAAGCAATTTTTTCTTTTTCTTTTTTGGTACTGGGGATTGAACCCAGGGGCACTCAAACACTTGGCTACATCCTCAGCCCTATTTTGTATTTTATTTTAGAGACAGGGTCTCATTGAGTTGCTTAGTGCCTTGCCATTGCAGAGGCTGACTTTGAACTTGTGATCCTTCTGTCTCAGCTTCCTGAGCCACTGGGATTACAGGCATGTACCACTGTGTCCGACTAGAACAAGCAATCTTAACTGGGTCTTCATTGGTGATGTTTAAAACTGCTAGCCTTTTGCAATTTTTTGCTAATTTTGCTTATGTCAGGAGCTATAAGTACATGCTACTACTTCTGAATTATTTCTTAGCATTGGAATCTCTGCTCTATTTTGCTGAGACACTATCTGAGCACAAGTGTTCCACAAATTGCTTGGCCTGTTTGATTTATTTCCTCTTCTCATAGGCATGACTCTCCAAGATTCTGTTAATCTAAATGCTCTCAGGAAATTCAGGAAACACCTTGAAGATAAATACAGAGAAATGAAGCAAGCTATGTTGGTAAAATATGTACCAATTCAAAGGATGGCTGATTTTGATGAGGAAATGATTGTGTTATTAAAACGGCGAGATATAGCTGAAAATCTGAATGAAAGATTACAATTTCGGTATGAAAGTTGATTGTATGTTTTTAAAGTTCAAAGGTTTTATTTGTTTATTTTAATATTCTACCTTTCAATTTTAAGCTTAGTATTTTGTTGATGTTTTTATCTTTATAGTCATCAAAGACTGCAGATTATTTTATATGCACTTTCTTCATGGGTAAAATCTGATAAGAGCAAAACATTTGAAGACTTCGTGGAAGAAGTTCAGAAAACCAAAGATTTTCATGGTAGCTTATCTACATTTTTAAATTAGCACAAGTAGTAGGAGATATTTTTCCCCTAGAAAACTAAGAATGAACTGAGTTTAAAGAAAACAAAAATACACTTACCTCAGCCTGCAGTTGTGGCTCAGAGGTAGAATGCTCGCCTAGCATGCGTGAGGCACTGGGTTGGATCCTCAGCACCACATAAAGTAAAATAAAGGCATTGTGTTCATTTATAACTAAAAAAAATTTTTTTTTAAAATATACTTACCTCTACTAGTTCTCTGACATCCTATGGGTTTCTTCCTTCAGCAGCGGTCAGATATTGGTTAAGAATAGACTTTGTGAGCCAAAGAGGGAATCCTTAAAATGAACTGAAAATAAGGAGCAAAGGGACAGGGATGCCACTCAGTGTAGGAAGAGGTTGGTACTGTTTGAAACCAAAGCAGTATTAAATGTATGTTTATGGGCTGGGGTGTAACTCAGTTGGTAGAGTGCTTACCTTGCACACACAAGGCCCTGGGTTCAATCCCCAGCACCATCAAAAAATAAATAAATAAATAAATAAATAAATAAATAAAAGTATGTTTATTATTTTTTATTGGTAAATAACCTTAAATATCTTATGTTGGTCCTTTTAGCATTTATAGTTGACCAAGGCTTTGTTGAAGAACTGCTTGAAGATGATCCAAGCAAGGCAAAAAATGCTGAAATTATACTGTACTACATTGAAAGGCAAATATTTTTAAAACTTTGATTTTCTACATTTAAGTGACCATGTTTATCATTTATTTAGTATTTTGATAAGCTGTAGTCTTTGGTTTTTATATCTTTAAAATTCTATTTTAGTTGAAAATTTAGAACATAAAGTAGAATTTCATTTTTTATGGATTTTTTTGTGGAAAAAACCCCACAGCTTATAGCAGACATTTCAGAGAAGATAAGAGGATTGTAGTGTTGATATAAATTTTATTTACATTTTTCTTGCATTCCCTAGCCATCAATTTACTAGTCTTAAATGTTCTTTTGAGAATTTCTTTTCTTTTCATTTCTTTTCTTTTTCCTTCCTTCCTTCTTTCCTTCCTTCCTTCCTTCCTTCCTTCCCTCCCTCCCTCCCTCCCTCCTAGTGATTAAACTCAGGGGCATTCGACTAAGTACTATTGGAATATGTACAGGATCAAGTTCAAAGTCAGCTTTGTTTTATAATGAGATAAAACACCCCCAAGAATATTAGAGAAAAAATTGAATGAACAGCCTCTAAGTAAACAAATCTAGTCATAGTTCGTTAGAATTGTTTTTTGTTCTTCTATATTATGCCACTATACTTACTTCATATTAGATATTTCTAATCAGCGTTTTTACTTTTTTGTGTACCATTATAAAATGCAATGGCTCTAGATTCAATGAACTAATGTCACTTGGTGAATATGAAAAGGCAGCTTATTTTGCAGCAAGCAGTCCTAGAAGGATTCTTCGAAACATGGGTTCAATGGATAAATTTAAGGGTAAGCATCTCTCTCCAAACCTTATCCATGTATGTAAATTATACTTTTTTTCTTGATAGAATATAAAGAATATTAAACTGAGAGACTAAACATCAGATCTAGACTCCAGCCCTATCTCTGTCATTTACTGTTAAAATTAAGGACTTTGAATAGTTTTTCTAACTTAAATTTTGATATATTACAAGTATATAGAAAATATGGAGACATGTATTAACACTCATATACTCACTATCAAAATGTAATGAATGTTAATATTTCGTCAAATTTACTTATTTTTTTTATATTGAGGATTGAACCCAAGGGTGCTCTACTACTGAGCTACCCTCTCAGTCCATTGTATTTTTTATTTTGAGAAAGGTCTCACTAAGTTGCCAAGGCTGGCCTTGAACTTATGATTCTCCCGCTTGCCTTCTAAGTAGCTGGATTACAGGCATGCACCACTGTGCCCAATAGGCAGGCATATCCTTTTAAAAAACAACTTTCTTGTCGTAAATTGACATACATACAACAAGTTGTGTGTATTTAAAGTACATAATATGTATATGTTATTTATACTGTCTCTTGTACAATAATATATTTCATTTTTAAAGTCATGTGTACTATGTTCTGACAGGTTGTCAGGCAATTTTATCAGTGTGCAAACAGCACAGAACACACTTTAAAAACTCTAGGTGGAATAGCCTAGGAGATATGGTATAGCCTATTATTCCTAAGCCACAAACCTATATAGCATATTACTATACTGAATACTGTAGCAACTGTAACACAAGAATAAGTATTTATATATTTAAACATAGAAAGAGTAGTTTATTGGTTAAGTGCCTCTGAGTTCAATCCCCGTTGGGCCCCCCTCAAAAAAAAAAAAAAAGAAAAGAAAAAGAAAAGAAAAACAGGAACAGACCAACCCCCAAAGTCAGTAGAAGAAAAGAAATAATAAATGTCAGAGAGAAATAAATAGAGGCTAAAAAAAAAAAAAAAACAATACAATGAACAAAGAGTTGATTCTCTGAAAACATAAAATTGACAAATTACTAACCAAAATTGAAGAACCAAATAAATAAAACTAGAGATGGAAAGGTATTTCACAAATACCAGTGAAATCCAGAGGATCATTAGGACATATTTTTTAAGTACTACCTGTCAACAAATTTTCTGGATATATATGACCTGCCAAAAATTGAATCAAGATGATATAAGAAATGTAAATAGACCAATAACAAGCATCAGACCTAAGCAATAATAAATCTTAAGCAAAGTAAAGTCCTGGACCAGATGGGTTTGCTGCTGAGTTGTACCAGACTTTTGAAGAGTGAATACCAATGTTTCTCAAATTACTCTATAAACAAACAAAGACATACATAGGAACTCCCCCAAACTCTTTTTACAAAGCCAAAATTACTATACTACTAAAGCCTGAAAAAGATATATAAAAAAAAAGAACGAAAAAGATAACTGTAGACCAATATTCTTAATGAACATAGATGCAGAATCCTCAATAAAATACTTGCAAATTGAATTCAATATCACATTAAAAATATCATACACTGAGGTCAAGTTGGTCTCATTCTGGGATGCAAGACTGATTCAACATTTGCAAATTAATAAATGTAATTCACTACATAAATAGAATCAAATATAAAAATTACCTAATCATTTCAATAGATGCAGAAAAGCCTTTGATAAAAATTAGCATCCCTTCAGGATAAAAACCTTTAATGAATTATATATACAGGATCATATCTCAGGATATAGAGGCTATATGTGAAAAATCCATAACCAACATCATACTAAATGGGGAAAAACAAAGAATCTTTTTTAAAATCAAGAATGAGACAAGGATGTACACTCTTAACACTCTTATTTAGCACTGAAGACTTTAGCAGAGCAATCAGGCAAGAGAAAGAAAGAAAATGGATACAAATAGAAAAAGAAAAAGTTAAATTAGCTTTGTTTGTAGATGATATGATTCGATACCTAGAAAATCCTGGAGATTTTAGAACTGATAAATTGGGCAAAGTAGCAGGATACAAAATCACCATACAAAAATTGGTAGCTTTTCCTATATCCACCAATAATGAAATAAGGAAAACGGTCCTATTCACAATTATCTCAAAAACAAGACCAAAAACATAAGAATAAACCTAACTAAGGAGTTGAAAGACCTCTACAATGAAAATTATAAAACACTGAAAAAATATTGAAGAAAATAATGGAAGTTGGAAAGATGTCCCATATTCATGGGTTGGGAGAATTAATACTGTTCAAATGGCCATATTGCTGAAAGCTATCTATAGATTCAATAAAATCCCCATCAAAATACTAATGACTGGCCTGGAATTGTGGCTCAGTGGTAGAACACTTGCCTAGCATGTGTGAGTTCTTGGGTTCAATTCTTAGCACTGTATATAATAAATGAATAAAATAAAGGTCCATCAACATGTAAAAAAATATTTTAAAAAATACTAATGGCATTATTCACATAACTAGAAAAAATAATCAAGTTCATATGGAAGCACAAACACCTGAATAGTCAAAAGCAATCCTGAGTAAAAAGAATAATGATGGAGGAATCATAATACCTGATTTCAAAATATGCCATGTATTGTATGATATTGTCATAAAAATAGGTACATAGAGTCATGGAATAGAATAGAGGATCCAGGAATAAATCCACCTATCTGCAGTCATCTGACTATTGAGAAAGGAGCCAAAAACATGCTGGAGAAAAGACAGCTTCTTCAATAAATGGTGCTGGGAAAACTGGGTATCTGCATGTAAAAGATTGACACTAGATCCCCATCTCTCACAAAAACTAATTCAAAATGGATCAAAGACCTTAATATAATACCTGAAATTTTGAAATTATTAGAGGAAAATAGGGGAAATATTTCAAGTTACTGGTATAGACAACACTGTCCTCAACAAGACTCCAGTAGCTCAGGAAGTAATAGCAAGAATGGACAAATGGGATTATATCAAATTAAAAAGCTTCTGGTTGGGGGGGGGGAGCTGGGGTTGTGGCCTAGCATGAGTGAGGCCCTGGGTTCGATCCTCAGCACCACATAAAAAAATTTAAAAAAATAAAAAGTTTCTGTGCAGCAAAGGAGATTGGGTCAGCAGAGTAAAGAAAGAGACAGGCCTGCAGAATGAAAGAAAAGCTATGTCAGCTATTCAGCTGTCAAAGAATTAATATCCAGAATATATGAAGGACTCAAAAATTAACACCAAAAGAACAAGCAATTCACTTAATAAATGAGAAAATGAGCTGAACAGCCATTTCTCAAAAGAAGTACAAATGGCCAATAATTATATGAAGAAATGCTCAACATCTTAGCTCTTAGGGAAATGCACATAAAAACTTTATATGTATTGAAATTCCATCTTGTTATACTCAGTCTAGAAAACAAAACCAAAAACAAAATTAAGAATACAAAACCAAATGAAAATAGCTCTCAGGGATGCAGGGGAAAAGGAATACACTGTTGGTGGGAGTGTAAACTAATACAGCCACTATGGAATTTTAGTATGGAATTTCCTCAAACAAAAATGGAACTACCATATACAATAGAGAGAACTGCATGTACATCTTTATTGCAGCACTATATACAGTGGGCAAGTTGTGGAATCAATCTAGATTCCCATCAACAAATGAACTGTTCATATGTGCGTGTCAGAGTGTGTGTTTATATATATATATATATATATTTTTTTTTTATCAGTTCATGTATATACACATAAACATTTTTATCAGTTCATGTATATACACATAAACACAATGGAGTATTATTCATCCCTGAAGAAGAATGAAATCATGTGATTTGTAAGAAAATGGATGGAATTGGAGCTCATCGTGTTAAATAAAATAAGCCAGACCCAGAAAGACAAGTATCACATGTTTTCTCTAGTGTGGAATCTAGAGTCGGGGCACGTTAGGCAGCATGAAAGTAGAAAGGGTACTGTTAGGGAAGGGGAGAGGGACCAAGGATCAGGAGGAAGTGGTAAGAGAGGTAACAGTGAGATCAAAATACATTATATGCATGTATGAAAATACCACAAAGAAACCCATTATTTTGTACAATTAATATACATTATTATTATTTGATACCTAGGATTGAACTCAGGGCATTTAACCACTGAGCCACATCCCCAGCCCTTTTTTCATATTTTATTAGAGACGAGTCTCACTGTGTTGCTTAGGGCCCTGCTAAATTGCTAAGGCTGGCTCTGAACTTGAGTTTCTCCCGCCTCAGCCTCCGAGCTGCTAATCCCAGCTTCACATTATTTTTTAAAGATTCTAGTTTATTATTCTCATTGAATTATTTTCAAAGTTAAGGTCTATAGTCTGGCTAAATATGTAGTTCTGAATACCCAGTTTTATATTTTTCTCATTTGGTTATAGAGCAATGTAGTTTGCTTGAGGACTTAAAAAAATTTTTTTTCTTAGTTGTAGTTGGACATAATATCCTTATTATTTATGTATTTTTATGTGGTGCTGAGGATTGAACCTAGTGCCTCGCATATGCAAGGCAAACACTCCACCACTGAGCCGCAACTCCAGCCCCTGCATGAGGAATTTTATCCTCAATGTATTTGTAACTACATCTTTTGTGTTCTTTATTCAAATCAGGTTTTTTTTTGGTCACACCATTAATGGGAGACTCTGTCACTTGAAATAAAATAAATTTATTTTCTCACAGTTCTGGAGGCCAAAAGTCTGAAATCAAGGTGTCAGCAGGGTTGGTTTCTTCTGGAGACTCTAAGTGGGCTTGCCTATCTTCTAGTCATTGTTAGCAACTTTTCTGCGTATCTCGGCTTGTAGACGGATCACTCTAATCTCTGCCTCCATCTTCACAGGGTGTAAATAATGATATTTAGTCCTCATCCAATATATAAAGTTTAATCTATATGTAATACTAAGCTTTTTAGAAAATGCAGAGATGAAAATAATAATATGAAATAAGAAAAAGCAAACTCTCTTAAAATATTTGATTCTAACATTTTTTCTTTTCTGTAGCTATTGGAAAAATTAAAGGAAGAACTCTTCCATTACTCTTATTTTTTGAGGCTATATTTAGCACAAGCCATGCTTTTAAAACTCCTGTTGATGCAGATCTAACCCTAGAAGGAATCAAATGTGGATTATCTGAAAAACGGCTGGATTTAGTTATCAACTGGGTCACCCAGGAAAAGTAAGCAGAATTCAATCTTAATTGTGACATTTTGTTAATATTATTGTTTGGTCTAAAAATTATAATAGTTTTCACATTAATACATTATTTGAACATTTACATCAGGTCCCTATTGCAGTTAATCAGAAAGTATTTACTAAGCATTCACAGAGGAATGAGACCTAGTCACAATAAGCACAAAGAGTTGAGTGACAGCACTCTCCAAGGTGATTTATAAGAACCTAATGAGGGGCTGGGGATGTGGCTCAAGTGATAGCACGCTCGCCTGGCATGCGTGCGGCCCAGGTTCGATCCTCAGCACCACATACCAACAAAAGATGTTGTTGAGAACTAAAAATAAATAAATAAATATTTTAAAAAATTCTCTCTCTCTCTCTCTCTCTTTAAAAAAAAAAAAAGAACCTAATGATAGATGGAAGTTGAGCAATAAGAATAAAGAAGTGGTGAAAGGAGACCCTCATCATTATACAAAATACATGTATGAAGATGTGAATTTGATGTCAACATATATAATCAGAGATATGATAAATTATGGTATGATAGTGTATTAGGAATTGTAATGCAAAAATAAATTTAAAAAAATAAAAAATAAAGAAAAAAATTAAAAAGAATAGAGAAGGATTGGTCAGTATCATGCTGATTGGGAGAGAAAAGGTAGATTCAAATCTGGTTCTGGATAGGCTGTGGGGACATGTAAAGAATACAGCCAAGAGACAGTGTATAAGCAGGAAGAATATGGACCAAGATGATAAAAAACACATAAAGCAGGCAAGGTGACAAGCGAGAGATGACTTCTTGAAGCTGAATTTCAGCATAGCTTGGCAGATTTGTGCTAGCTCTTTGAGGTTAGGTTCCCTAGAACCAAAGCCTGAAGACAAGAATTTGGGTGAATATGATTATTAGAGGTAGGGCTTCTCAGGAAATACATTAGGAAATGAGTGAAATAGAATAGGGAAGGGGAAAGAGTCAAGCAAGGATATGGCCTCAGATAAAGTCTACTTGGCCTAATTTATTGCTCAGGAGCATAAAGCACACTATAGAGCTGCTCTTCCTTGATGTAATGGACCAGTCTTTTATATTTCTCTATCAGGAAGAATATTCTGGCCCTGTAGGGAAAATTTGGATGGGACATTTGGTGGCATCAATTCCAGTCAACCAATTGCACAAAGTCATTCTATTTGCTTCTCACATTAAAGTATACTTGGGGTTGGGGATACAGTTAAGTTGGTAGAGTGCTTGCCGCTCATGCCCAAGGCCCTGGGTTCAATCCCCAGCACCACACACATAAAAAAAAAAATGTATACTCACAGGGCACAGTGATGCACACCTGTAATCCCAGCAGTTTGGGAGGCTGAGGCAGGAGAATCACGAGTTCAAAGCCAGTCTGAGGCACTAAGCAACTCAGTGAGACCCTGTTTCTAAATAAAATACAAAATAGGGCTGGAAATGTGGCTCAGTGGTCAAGTGCCCCTGAGTTCAATCCTCATACCCACCCCACCAAAAAAAAAAAAAAAAAAAAAGCATTTGATACTAAGGATTGAACCCAGGGATGCCTAGCCACTGAGCTATATCCCTAGTCCTTTTCAGGTTTTATTTTGAGACAGGGTCTCATGTTGGATCTTGATAAGTTCCTGAACAAAAAAATTATCCAACTTCTGCAGGATTCTGTGGTCATAATTCCTGGGGAAACATAATTCTTGAGGGGAGTTAGTGGAACATACTGTAGCTCCTGTTACTATGTAGGATACTACATAATTTGTTTTTTTATAACTTTATAAAATTTACATGCAATAAGCTACACATACTTAGAGGATATAATTTGATGAGTTTGATTAAAAAAGCATTAATGGGATATAAATGACAAACAAAAACTCAACATATTCAAAGTACAGGATTTGACAAATTTTGACATAAGTATATATTCATGAAATCTTTACCATAATCAAGGTAATTTAACATACATAACTCTCAATTGTTTCCTTATACTTCCTGTATTGCTCCTTCCTTCCTCCATTTCCTTACTCTGACCACCTCCCTCTCTATACCCAGGTAACAACAGATTGGCTTTCTATCACTGTAGAATAGTTTATAGAATTTTCTAGAATTTTATGTTAATGGAATTATACAGTTATATATTCTTTTTTTCTTCTTGGATTGGCTTCTTTCACTTATAATTATTTTCAGATTCATCCATACTAAATAATACTAATTATCTCTCTTCTGTCATCTAAATAAATTTTTTTAAATTCTTACACTTCTGTTGGTTTTGATGACTTGCCTGGTAGGATGACCTTGGTTATTAAGCCTTTATCAAACAGAAATTAAAAGTGATATCTTTAATTATACCCAAATGTTCTTATTGCTCATGCTAATGATTTCTAGGAAGAGTTACTGTGATAATACAGATGATTCACTTCAACTGTGTATGAAGATGGAAAATTAAGATATAATGACAGCTGGGATGATGGTACAGGCCTGTAATCCCAGCTGTTCTGGAAGCTGAGGCAGGAGTATTGCCAGTTCAAAGCCAGCCTTAGCAATTTATGGAGACCCAACGTGAGACCCTGTCTCAAAATAAAACCTGAAAAGGACTAGGGATATAGCTCAGTGGCTAGGCATCCCTGGTTCAATTCCTAGTACCAAAAAAAAAAAAAAAAAAAAGGCAAATGAAATCTATTCGATCAAGCTGTCTCAAAAGAAGTGCTTCTTCAGTTTTAATCTCTCCTAATAGGCACAGTTATGTCTTTTCTCCCCTGTTGCTTCTTATAAATCTATAACAAATTTTAAAAGTAACAATGCTGTCATACTTTCTCTGTTTTCTTTTTAGTACAAATGTTTCTTGAAAGATCTATCACTAATTTTGAGGTAAAATTGTTCTATCTTTAACCAACAATTAATAAGTTCTTTATATTCTACAGTTCTGGACTCTATGTAGTTGCTGAGAATATTGTGACCCCCAATTCTAAGAGAATTTTTGTTTATCTTGTAATTTTAAGTCCTGTCCATATTATCAGGAGAGTTTTAACTTTGTTTATAGATTTTTTTTAATCTGATTTTTTTTTTTCTTTTGAGACAGGGTCTTGCTAAATTTCTGAGGCTGGCCTTGAACTTGTGATCCTCCTGCCTCAGCCTCCTGAGTTGCTGGGGTTTGTAGATGTTTTAAAAACTTGATATCAGTTTCACCAAAATGTCTTCCCCCAAAATAATACTTGTTCATTTGTTGTTGTTAAATCTCAGATATGTTTAATTTCTTTTATACCAATTGTCTACTGATTTGGAATCATTGCAAGGTATAGAGAAGTCATGCTGAATTTTCAAATATTTCCGTCTCAGCTACTCATCAAGATTTCTCTAATGTATGCCTTATTGATCTGCTTGCTCTAGGCTGACATTTTCAGAGAAGGCTGGGGATGTGATTTATGATTATGGGGAACAAGACACTTTTAACAAAGCCAAGTGCCTGGCTTTAGCTCAGATTATCTACAGCGAATGTGGCCTGCATAAGAAAGTTCTTCTTTGCCTGTGTAAACAGGGTCAGATCCATGGGGCCATAGAATACTTACAACAATTCAAGGACTTTGCTCCTGGTAAATAAAAGAGGCTACTTATTTGTGTACATTCAAATTCTGGACTTGACTTCTAAGATCACTGATCACAGCCGGCATTATTTTAAATTTACATTATAGAATCTATTTTATACATATTGATAAGTAGGATATTTCTTTTGTAATTTTTCATGAAAATAGTTAAGATGGAGCTAATTGAATTTCATGGTAGACATTAAAATTCATTATGCATGGGCTGGGGATGTGGCTCAAGCGGTAGCGCGCTCGCCTGGCATGCGTGCGGCCCGGGTTCGATCCTCAGCACCACATACCAACAAAGATGTTGTGTCCGCCGAGAACTAAAAAATAAATATTAAAAATTCTCTCTCTCTCTCTCTCTCTCTCCTCTCTCACTCTCTCTTTAAAAAAAAAATTCATTATGCATTTTCCCAAAACATTAGTAAATTGGATGATATTGGAAATATATAGTCTTTTAAAAAATCTTATTTTAATTAGTTATACATGACAGTAGAATGCATTTATGCACTTTGATATACACAGATAGGATATAATTTTTCTTTTTTCTGAGTGTACATGTTGCAGAATCATATTGGTCATGCAGTCACACATATACATAAAGTAATAATGTTTGTTTCATTCCACCATCTTTCCTATCCCTTTATCCCCTCTCCCCCCTTCACCTCCCTCTACCTAAACTAAGGTAACACCATTCTTCTCTAGTGCCCCCTCACCCCACTTCCCACCGCCTTAGTGTGAGTTAGCATCCACATATTAGAGAAAACATTCGGCCTTTGGTTTTTTGGGATTGGTTTATTTCGCTTAGCATGATATTCTCCAACTCCATTCATTTATTGGCAAATGCCATAATTTTATTCTTCTTTAAAGATAAGCAATATTCCATTGAATATATATACCACATTTTCTTTATCCATTCATCTATTGAAAGATACCTAGGTAGGTAGGTTCCGTAGTTTAGCTATTGTGAATTGAGCTGCTATAAACATTAATGTGGCTGCATTACTGTAGTATGTTGATTTTAAGTCCTTTGGGTATAAACGGAAATATATACTCTTAAAGATAACTTTAATGGATATGCTGGACCAAGCTACATAGGGCTATTTTAAAATTACTGAACTTATCTGTCATATATAATATTCTAAAGTATTAAAATTGAAAAAATTAAGGAAATAATGTTTATTTCAGAATTTTGAAACACCTAGGTTATATCAGGATGCTGAGATAGTTTTTCATTTTTACTTTCAGATGACCTGATGAAGCTAATAACATTATGTCCTCAAACTGAACTCATTCAATGTCTCACTGAAGAAAAGAATGGGAGACCACCATTTTTATCTTTTGGACTTGCCATACTTCATCTGTTCTCTGTGAATATGGAAAAAGTTGGCATTAAGCTACTCCAAGAAATAAACAAAGGTGGGATAGGTAAGTAGAGTAAAATGTTGTTGTGAAAGAAATATTACTGTGTTATTTAGGGAAAGGTTCAAGATAGTTATGTACAAGTTAACACAAATTTTCCTTAGGGTTCCTTCTTAGCAAGAATTAATTTGAGAGGTTGTGGCTTAAAGGTAGAGCGCTCACCTAGTACATGCCAGGCTCTGGGTTTGATCCTCAGCACCACATAAAAATAAATAAATAAAATAAAGGTATAAAAAATAAAAAAGAAAAAGAATTAATTTGAAGCTGGTAACATTGGCACATGCCTTTAATCCCAGCTACTTGGGAGATTGAGGCAGGAGGCTTTCAAGTTGGAGGCCAGTTTGGGCAATTTAGTGCAATCCTATCTCAATATACAAAAATAAAAAGTGTTAGGGGAATACTGGGGATAGTATTCCCTGCAAAAAAAGAGTTAGGAGTTGATAAATATAACAATTCCATGCCAATAATAGTCTATTGACAATACTATATATTTCTTAAGAGAATTAGAATGAAGAGAAAATCTTTTTAAAGCCTGAGGGGAATGCAATAACAATTGTATAGCTAACACTTTTATAAATTATAAAACTTTACATGTATTAATGTATGTGTACTTTTTTTTAAGAGGGAGAGAGAAAGGGAATTTTAATATTTATTTTTTAGCTTTCGGCGGACACAACATCTTTGTTGGTATGTGGTGCTGAGGATCGAACCCGAGCCGCACGCATGCCAGGCTAGCGCTCTACCGCTTGAGCCACATCCCCAGCCCATATGTGTACTTTTAGCAATAGTTTATGTGTATTTTATTAAATATTATTTAGATATAAACATGTATTTTAATTTCTAAACCAAATATATGAATATTTAATATGATTATCATTCTGAACTGAACTGCAGTGGGATAGAGAATTTTAAAAAATTCACTTTTTTTCTCTTTCATTAATTTAACATGAATTTGAGCAGACAGTTTGATTTCATTTTTTATTTTTATTTTCTGATACTGGAGGTTGAGTAAAGTTCAGAGGTGCTTTACCACTGAACCACATCCCAAGCCCTTTTTATTTTTTATTTTGATAGGATCTCACTAAGTTGCTCAGGGCCTTACTAAGTTGCTGAGGCTGTCCTTGAACTTGCAATCCTCCTGCCTCATCTTCCCAAATTGCTGGAATTACAGATGTTTACCACCACATGTAATTGCCTGAAAACATATTTGTGAAGATAATTTAATATTTTGAAATTCTCATTACAGATATTATCTAAAATATTTGATAGGAAAATAAATTACAATTGTGATATAAATAAAATAATAGCAGTAACTATTCCAAAGAGAAATCCTCTTTTATTAAGTATCACTAAGTAATGCAGGTAATTGGTAAGAAATTCATTTTGTAGAATCTCACTATTATGTATAATTATAATGTACTATTTAAAAAAATTAATTACATAAATTGATAGATCACAGAGTCACTAATTGACTTTTAAAAGTAAATAATGTCATTAGATTTCACTTAAAAACAAAATTATTTCTTTAGAAAAACATTTGCTATAGGAAACCACATTAAGGATGTGGCTTCGAGGCTTCCTTTTAGGGAAATGATGGAAGATTTGCCTAAGAGTTTCTGAAACCCTTGGGACAGCACTACTAAGGCATTTACTGAAGTGCTTGAAGTATCATGAGAACTCGGGCAACAGATCCTTAGTTATTTGACAAATTCTGGTAGAGCATTATAGGCTCTGTGAATAAGGAAGAGCCCACACTCTTCACTTTCTGAGCTCCTTACTTTATAGCCTTCAGTGTCTGCTACCTTATCCAAAAGGAGATGAGTGGAGAAGTGTGGAATGTGGAAAATGGTAGAGGGCTGAATTGAGAAATGAAAGGGTAATGATAAAGGGGGAGAAGGAACTAACAGTTGAAAACTTAACCTGAGCAGGTCTAAGCATACTAAATGTTATATCATTAAACTTAATGGAAATCAGGTAGGGTTCAAAAGTAACTCAGGTGAAACTATGTCTCCCTTTTTTTTTTTTTTTAAAGAATCACTAAACCCAGCATGGTGGCACATGCCTGTAATTCCCAGTGGCTTGGGAGGCTGGGGTAGGAGGATCATAAGCTTGAGGTCAGCTTGGGCAATTTAGTGAGGTCCTAAGCAACTTAGCGAGAGCCTGTCTCAAAAAATAGAAACGACCAGGGATGGAACTCAATGGTTAAGGGCCCCTGGGTTCAGTCCCCTGTACTAAAAAAAGAAAAAGAAGAAGAATCACTAAGTGTGGATTATCAGATAAGTACTATACTGTAATATTGTATTTTTCTTCTCAGATGCAGTAGAACATCTTGTGATAAATGATTCATATTGCTCCCTAGAAATGTGGCAAAAATTGGCAAATATATGTTTACAGAGTGGCTTTGACAAATTATCTAATGACATCATATCCATTCTTCGATCTCAGGCTGGAGTTGCAGAAATTTCTGAAGAAGAACATACAGTCAATTTAATGGAACATGTTTTTTGGTAGTTCTGTATTTTAGCCAGTTGAGGGAGCTTGTACAACATTTTACAGGCAAATTAGTTTTCTCATAATTAACTTACAAATAAATCTAGTGCATGAAGCTCTCAGAAGTAAATCCTACTTCTTTTTGTTATCAAATTGGCTTCTTAAAAAATTTTTGAATTTTTGAATCCTTGATATTTTTAGGAAAAAACCTCTGAGGTCCTTTTTCTGTGTAATGCAAGAAAAAGCAAGATGATACTTCAGGGTTGACTCGCTGACAAAAAGCTAGAGTACAATAATTTTGTATTTAAAATTCTGCTGATTTAAAGATGTGCCCCATGATTTGGCATATATAAATATGGCAAAGATTAGGCTTCTACTAAAGTTGGGCATCTTAACATGTTCTTACTTAGAGGGAAGATCAGCCAAGGTTTGCTCTAAGTAGAACTACCTATAGGCATAAATGTATTTGAAGTCATAAAGTGTTATTTTATATAATAAATATTTGAAGTATTTGAGAACTCAGAGTTCTGTGCCTTGTATAGGTGTGATAATCAAAATCGTTAATGATCAATATGACAGGGGCACCAATTAAGCGGAACAGACATCCAACCAATCAGAACAGCTTTCTGTTCTTATTGCCACATCAGAACATAGCAGCTGAATGTCAGCCTTGACTATGGGGTATGGTAAAAATTAGCTGCTGTTACATAGAATAGGAATAAAAAACTTAATTTTTTTCTCCTAAATTTAAATTGGATATGTATTTTTTATGTCACAATGGAAAGAATATGAACTTAGAGTCAGTCTTATTAAAATTCTGGTACTATCTTTTACTCATTTGTGAAATTTGTCTGATCTAGGCTTGTTATGAGGATTAGTGATAATTTATATGTATAATATAACATGATGGAGAAATTTAGTAGAAGATGGCCATCATTTTTATGTAGTAGGCCCCAGAAGCACATATTCTCTGCTTAGTTTATACTTAATTAATCCCACATTTCTATCCCTTTGTATGCTACAATTGTAATTCTTTAGAGTAGTTGACGTTAGTTTAACTTATTGTTTAAACTCATATTTTGGTTGCCTGGCATATAGTATAAATCCATTAAGTGTACGGGCTGAGTTTAATTTTTCCATATAGTGCTAAAAATTTCTAGATAGCTATACTTCAGTTTTCTAAACTTTAATAATTTTACTAAAGTAATATGAATAGTTTAAAAAGCAACATATTATTAAGATGCTTATGATAATTAATAATATTTTTATTTCTGGTCTTTCATTAGCTGTGATTTTTTAAAAGAACAGACGAAGTCAAGAAAAAAGAAGGGAAAGTAAGAGGGTATTTCAGCCACATCCATTCTTTAGGTCACAATGGTTTAAGTCCTTTTTTCCTTTGAGAATTGCACAATTGATAGCAAGCTCCTGTGGGTTCACTGACAGAACTTAGGAACAAAATGTGACCATGAAGGCCAGGGGGATGAAGTAGCTATATAAATCTGGAAAAACCTTGAAGTAGCAGCTGGTTTTTTTTTTTTTTCTTAATTTTACCTTGATTTTGAAATGTTTTCCCTTTGCTCATTATGATTCCTTCTCAGTTATCATTACCTTTGGCAGCTTTCCTAAGGAAAGTAAAAGTTGTCAAGTGAATATAAATTAAAATGCCTGGAGATAAAAGTTGGGAGGAAGAGTGAGAATACAAATGAAAAGGGGAAGGAGAAATAATTGAGTTGTGAGCTATGTAGTTGTGAGCTATAAGAACCTCCCTGTAATCTACACTGAAAGAAGTATAACATGGGCTCACCACAGAAGCCTGCCTTACAGACCAGCTGTACCCCTACTGAGCTCTGTGCTCTTTTCCTCATGCTTAAGATGATTTTTTTTTTAAAGGAGGAAAAGTTCATTTAGGGGCTCATGGTTTCAGAAGTCTCAATCCATAGATAGCAGGCTCCATTCCTCTGGGCTCAGGGTGAGGCAGAACATCATGGCAGAAGAGTGTATCAGAGGGAAGCAGCTCACATGGTGATCAGAAAGCAGAGAGAGGTCTCCACTTGCCAGATACAAATATACAGGCCAGAGCCACGCCTCCAATGCCCCACCTTGTCTAGCCACACCCTACCACTTCAGTTACCACTCAGCTAATCACTATTAGGGAATTAATTCGCTGACTGGGTTAGGACTCTCAACAACCCAGTCATTTCTCCTCTGAACCTTCTTGCATTGTCTCACACCTGAGCTTTTGGGGTATACTCACATTCAAACCATAACATTCCAGTCCTGGCCCCCAAAAGCTCACACTCATCTGACAATGTAAAATACATTTAGTCCATTCCCAAAACTCCCTATAGTGTCAACTCTTCCAAGATTGCTCAAAGTTCAAGTCCAGAGTCTTCTCTGAACCTCAAGGCAATCTTGCATTTTGAGGTCCTGTAAAAACAAAAGCAATTTACAGGTATACAATATATAATGGTACAGAGTAAATATTTCCATTCACAAAATTAGGGGCATAGAAAGAAGAGATAGGACCAAAGCAAGACCAAAAATCCAGCTGAGCAAACAAGTCTTATAGCTCCATATCCAGCAACTGGGACATATGGCATTGTGGTATTCTCTCCAAAGGGCTTGTGTAGTTCCACCCCTGTGGCTTTGTTGGTTGCAGCCTAAGTGGCCTTCCTGTTGGCTTATTTCTGCTAGATTCTTGCAGTTTTCCTAGGATGATGTCCCATGTTAATCTTGGGGGTTTCCACTGCAGCTTCAGCTTCCTTGTCATATCTCCACACTTTGCTTTCTCAGGGTGCCCACAGGGACTCTGACCCTGCTGAACCTTGCCTGCACTCCCAGGCCTTCCTTTGAAATCTTCGTAGAAGCCTCCATGACCCTCTAACTTCAGCATACAGCATTCCTGTAAAACCAGCACCATGTGGTGATGCCAAGGTCTGCCACCATCTCGAGCAGTAGCCAAGCCTCCAGGGACCCTGGCTGTAGCAACCTCTGAGTGCCTGAGTAGCTGAGCATGTTGAACAACTTCCTAGGCCCCCTTGTGCAAGAAGGGTGCCCCACTGGTCTCTTCTCAAGAGAATTTTCTCTTTTATTCCCTTGAGCTTGAGCTAGGTATGGTCTTGCCAATTCCTGAAGCAATCTTTCTTATTGTCTCTGAGCAAAATCTTCAGGATTTATTTAGTGGCATAATGTTTTTAACACTTGCAACTTCCTTATCCCCAATTTTATTCCTGCTTTTCAAGTTCAAGTTTTTCAAATATTTCTGCTTTGTTTTCTACTCCTGAATATCAGAATAAATTTGGCTAAAAGCCACCAGCAATATCCATGCCACTTCCTGAATGCTATGCTATCCCAACATTTCTTCTACCAGATTAAGAAGTACATCGCTTTTAAAATCCGCCTCACAGAAAGTCTCAGGATACAGGCAAAGTGAGGACAATTTCTCAGTCAGAACATAACACTAGTAGCCTTTACTCCAGATTTTAATAGGATCCTCCTTTTCTGAACCCTCTTGAGCCCTGTCTTCACAGTCCTGTTGGCATTCTGTTCTTTTGAGTTCCCATCAGAATTGGCCATTAATCTCTGCTTACAGTAATCCAAAGTAATCCAAGCTTGTGCTGCTGCACATCTCAAAATTCCTCCTACCAATTCCAAAAAGCCATAGCGCGCTCTCCTGGCATGCGTGTGGCCTGGGTTCGATCCTCAGCACCACATACAAACAAGAACAGCACCTTTTAGGGTCTGAGGGATGGGGAAGGTATCATTAGTTTTCTATGTTGTTGTAACAAAGTACTTCAAATTGAGCCATTTAACAAGCAGAAATTTATTGTCTCGTACTTCTGGAAGCTAGAAGTCTTAGCTCAAGGTTGATTACTTCAGAAGGCTCTCTCTTTGGCTTACAGATAACAATCTTCTCTGTCTCTTCACGTTTTCTTCCCTTTCTGTATTCCTGTATCCAAATTCCTTATCTTATGGGGCCTACCATGATGATCTCATTTTAACTTGACCCAATCTCCAATAAGGTCACATTCTGATACATTGAAAGTTAGGACTTCAGCATATGAATCTTGGGAGGATGTAATTCAGTTCTCAACAATTATCACTGTATCACCAAAAATACATAAACATAGAATTGACCAAATTATATTCAAGTATGAGTATGTCAAAATGAATCCTACTGTTATATATAATATTATGTGCCAATAAAAATACTAAAAAGCAATAACAAAAAATGAATATTTAGTAAGCAGTTGCTGCAGGAATAAATATTAGTATGGGTCTAATATTTTTATATTTAATGCCAATCTTTTTTTTTTTTTTGCATTCATGTAATTCAGTCAATAGATCTCAGCATCTTTGATGGGTCAGCCATCAGGAATATTTTATTGATTGTGTTTCTTTTGTATCCTTGTGTTTGCGTGTAAGTCTAATATTTTCCCAAAATTTCTATGGTAATTAATACCAATCTTGTTAATTAACTTTGGTTTTAATAATTTTTTTGGTAAATTTTATTATGTGTAAACATATATGTATACAATTATATCACACATTCTGAAAAATGTGCAAATTGTAAATGTAGAGCTCAATGATTTTCACAAAGTGTGACTAACCCACAAAGAAATAGAACACCACTGGAAGGTTCCGATCTGTACCGTCCTTCTCCCCAAAGTAGCTACTCTCCTGAATTTTCTTACCATAGATGAATGTTTCCTGATTTTGAATTTTATATAAAAAATAATGCATTTATTCCTTTGTGTCTGGCTTTTTTTTTTTTTGCTCTTTATTATTTTTGTGGGACTTTTCCATGTTGTGTGTAGTTGTAGTTACTTATTCTCATTGCTATTTGTTAGCCTATTGTATAAGTATACATGTTTCTACTATAAGTGAACAGGTAAATTGTTTCCAGTGTGGGGCTAAAACATAGTGGGCCCATAAGCATTCTAATACGTGTTTTATGTGCTCCATGTGTGCATTTCTTTCTACTGGATAAGTGATCATGTTAATCGCCTCTGAGCTACTGTGAAGTATGTGTAATAGAAATTATTTGTATATTTTTGTATATTTTTCTTTCCAAACTTATGGGTTTCTTCATTTCTTACATAGGGCACTTCTTTGCTTCTCATGTAAAGTCAAGAACAAAATTCTTTCAATGCTCTTGAGTGCTGACACTGTGCTAGCAATTTTTTTAATAACTTTATTTTATTTATTTTTATGTGGTGCTGAGGATCAAACCTCTGAGGCAATCCCAACCCTATGCTAGCAACTTTTTTTTTGTGTGTGTGGGGGGGTAGGGTACCAGAGATTGAACTCAAGGGCACTGAGCCACATCTCTAGCCCTGTTTTGTATTTTATTAGAGACAGGGTCTCACCGAGTTGCTTAGCGCCTTGCCAAATTGCTGAGGCTGCCTTTGAATTCACAATCTCTTGCCTCTACCTCCCAAGCTGCTGGGATTACAGGCATGTGCCACTGCCCCTGGCCTAGCAATTTTTAATATATGTTCTTATTAAATTTTCTTAACAATTTTTATGGTAGATATCTCCAATTTTTAGACTCCCCCCATATCCCCCCCCCCAAAAAAAATCACTCTGCAGTATCTATAGAGGCCTGCCTGGTACTATTGTAAATTAGTGAAATATATCACACTTACACATAGGGGGATCTGAGTAATTTTTTAAAGGGAAGGACAATTATGATAAATTCCAGTCAGTTTTTATTACACAGGATTATGGAAATGTTGTCTGATGTATGTAGGCCTGATTTTCAGAATACTGTGTGGGCCAAACAAGATACTTCTACAGACCAAGATTGAGCTGGGCAGCATCAATTTGAAGCCTCTCTCCTAAACTCAGAAGAACAAGCTTAATTTCTTGTGTTTATCAACTTTAAATTAAACACTTTGAATATGAAAGTTAAAAAAATGTTTTTTTTCATTCAGAAAAAGCTGCCCACTTTATTTTATTTTTTTATTTTTTGAAAATTGAGGATGTTGAGTTTTTTGTTTTTTGTTTTTTTTTAAAGGGGGAGAGCATGCACGAGAATTTTTTAATATTTATTTTTTAGTTTTCAGCGGACACAACATCTTTGTATGTGGTGCTGAGGATCGAACCTGGGCCGCATGCATGCCAGGCGAGCAAGCTACCGCTTGAGCCACATTCCCAGCCCGAGTACCCACTTTATTGATGTACTGATACCTGTATTGCGGATCTAGTGTGGAGGCTATTTTGATTTCTAATGTCAAGGAACTTGAAAGGTAGCACACATGTAATTTGTGTGTAGAAAGAAGAAAAGATACACAAGTAATGCTGACATCTTTTTCTCTAAAGAATTAATTTACCAGTATCATTCCCCAACTATATTGCCAGAAGGGTGGTTAAGAAGCAATATTAAAGTTTTTTTTTTTTTTAAAGAGGCTACTGAGATACAGCTTGACGATTTCCCTACGTGATTCTTATATCTCTATTCAGTTACTCTTTAGTAGAATTTCCACTGTGGTTGTGGGGATTTGCCATTACCACGTTTATCAAAATACTTGGGGCAGAAATCACCACCAAGCATTTTCAGTCCTCTACTGGGCGCAAACTCTACCTTTCAAGCTCTCATCTATAATAATGGGGAGAAGCCATATTTTTAATCCAAGGAGCAGTTATATGGATTATATTCTGTTATTTTGTTTGAAATCTTAAAGGTACTATAAATAGGGCCAGCTTTAGTTAAATTTGGGCTTATGTGAAGTCCATCTCACCCTTTTGTGGTTTGAACATGTCCCCCAAAGTTCATACTTGAACTTTGATGGAAACTTGATCCACACTGTGGCATAGCTGGGAGGCTGGGTTAATGCCATTATAAAGGGAATGGGCTTCTTATTGAGGAAGTAGGTGCTTAAAATGTGACAGCTTTGGCCCTTTGTGCTCTCTCATGCCCATGTGCTGCCTTCTGCCGTGTGTATGGTGAAGCAAGAAGGCCCACACCAGATGCCAGCACCTTGGTCTTGGACTTCCAATCTCCAGAACTGCAAGCCAATAAATTTCTGTTCATTATCAATTACTGGTCTATTGTTTTCTATTACAGTAGCACAAAATAAACACTCCAATTCTGGTGGCATAATAGATTAAGATTTCTGAGCTGGGCATGGTGGCACATGCCTGTATCCCCAGTGGTTCAGGAGGTTGAGACAGAACAATCTCAAGTTCAAAGCCAGCCTCAGCAATTTAGTGAGGCCTTCTCTCTAAATAAAATACAAAATAGGTTCAGTGGTAGAGTGCCCTGAGTTCAATCCCCAGTCCAAAAAAATTTATGTATATATATATATTTTTTTTTTTGAAAATATGTATTGC